AACGTATTTAAGAAAATATGCTGTACCCAAAAACTGTACTATTAATCCCATAGTTTATTTTGTTATGTTTCTTTATTAAACAAACCAATGTATTATTATTTATATTCTGTAAGCAGAAATTTAACAGTACTTAATATTTAGGTACGCAAATTCCAAAAAAATCGACTGTAGCATTCACACAATGTTTTGTAGTGCAACGAAGTTTTCAGTGGCAAGTTATACTATTTGCTATTGTTACACAATATCATTGTAATGGTTAACGATTGAACTGTAATAGGTACTAAAATAAACAGCTGTGGTAAAAATCGATTCAATGTTCATTAAATATGTTATCACTCCGAAATAAAACGAATTTTATCATAATATGGCATCGCGTTAAATGGTATATATTGTATACGTAATACTATTTTGCACTATGACCAAAAAATATTCAATTTTTACAATTATTTTCTTTGTATCCACCTACGAATTGATGTTTAATGCAAATGAATGACTGGTTATTGATAATGATTAATACAATATGTCTCTTTTATTTTTATATGAGTCGTAGTTTAGGTGTTTAAGTGTTGTTGTTTAATAGAATAATTTAAAAATGTGTTATTTATTGAATTAAACAGAAGTTTTATTTGTTATGTAAAATAATTGGATAATATATAATGCCCACTGGGTATTATATATAACAACTAGATTTATTAAACTAAAAACACAGAAACATATCATAAACTACACATACTTATATAGGTACAGACAGACTATTTCATTCAACACATAATATTTATTATTTTGAATATTATTCACCGTTTTTGGAATTTTCTTTCGCAAAATTAGTTTAAATATTAAAATCTTGAATATTTTAGTAATATGATATGTTTAATCTCTGGTTCTATCCTAAATGAATATCAACTTTTCATTTTTTAATACTAGAAATTTATAAGGATATTTTTTTATGAATTCAAATTTAATTTATAAGAAAAGTATCCTAATACATTTCTTACATATTTGAATTCATTTCCCAAAAGAAAGTTCCAAATAAAGTTAAGACTTTTTTAAATAATGAGTGTTGTGTGTTAAATGAATATTATATATGTATATTTATATACAGAGTTAAATTTGAATTATATTTGTTAAGCTTTTGTAAATAGTTTTTTTTATGCTTTAAAATTCAAATGGGGCAAGCACGGTTGACTGATTTGGCGTTTATGAATCTTCATAATAATATTACATTAAATACTTATAACATAATTAATCTCTTTGCTAAATTAAAACACAAAGTCGATTTAATTCTTTAATCAATTAAAATATATTCAGATAAAACTAGTTTTTTAAACTCTAAATGAGATTTAGGATGCATGGATAAGTACCTATAATTTGAAAATTAGTTTTTTTCACTTTATTGCCTAATTATTTCTATTAAAAATTTATATTGATAAAAGTTAAGTCTATACTAATAATATTATAAAGCTGAGGAATTTTTTTTGGTTGAAAGCACTAATCTCAGGAATTTCGAATTGAAAAATTATATTTGTGTTTGATAGTCCATTTATCGAAGAAGGCTATACTATTATTTTTATTTCAAAATGACACCCCTAAAGGCGGGTTGACACGAGATTATTGGTATTTTAAGTACGAAAATTGTTGATCGGTTACCTTGGTGATGCGAATAAAATTAAAAAAGAGAAAATACATAAAATATATATATCATTACAACAATGCGCGATTCCATGACGACAATAATTGTTAAAAAAGATTTAAAAACTTAATTATAACACAAAATTAATAAAAACAGTTGCCAATGACTACCATAGGTTTAAGTTTTCAATCTTTTCTAACCCAAAAACTCATGTATCTATAGTCTATATAAATGAATCGCTGTTCGCTGCACAACTCAAGTAAGCGCAATAGAACACTTTTAGTCCATCGAAGGTGGTCTACCCACTTTCCACCTATTTGTTTTTATTCAATTAGGTCAAAATCAAAAAATGAATACGGGTAAAAATAAAATAATTGGCATGGACAACGCCGGGCGCCAAACGGCTAAAATAACAAACAACAAAAACTATAAGCCAGGTAAACTAGTTTACTGTGTTTATGTATATATAATGTATAAATATCACCCCCCTCTCTCCTATAAAAGGTTCTAGGGACGCCACTGAGCAGTGGCTGCACCCGCGTGCGAAGTATGTTCGTCCCTATTTTTTGTGCCTGTAAACAACGTTTCTACCAGAAATCTTACTCCGATATATAGAGTGTAACACTTTTTTTGAAAGGTGATTTTGTCCGGATGGTGCATTAAAGATGACAATTTTTGATTTTCTAAAGGGGTTTTCAAAATAGTTACGAAAAACCCAAAAGAAAAATATAGGTAAAATGGAAAATATTTACAGCATCCCATATCATTACGATTTTCATTATTTTAAACTACCTATATTATACACAATATTTTCTACCAGAATTCTTGCTCCAATCGAAAAATAACAAGATATCGATTTTGGTCTTTTTAAAATGTAGTTATAATTAAAGATTGTTTCGATATCTAAAGTACTAATATTAATTTTAAAAAAGATGAAAAACACGATTTTTTCAAATTATTACAATTAACAGGGTAGCATATTTATTATTGTTATCATTTAAATCGCATATCAATAGTATACATTTGTGATGAGCAATCAAAGAAATAATCATAGGATTCCATCTGTGTGTGTGTGTGTGTGTGTGGTTCGTTTTAAGTAGGAAACGTTAATGCACTGTTTTGGGGAGCTGTAGCATTGGCTGGATGTCTCCAATCGATACAAAACGTATACTTTTGAGTCCAAACGTTGAAACTATGAAGGCCCGGCGAATACGGACGTTAGAGATTTATTTTTGTTATCAGCCAGGAATTGCTGAGCCGCAAAAGATTTGTGTTTTTGAAGAATTTTCGTTTCATACAGAAGCTGTAATGTTTAGCGCGATGCAATTAAATCTATGAATACTTGGCAAAATGGATACATTCATTCGGAGAAATGTTTAATGCACGAGAACTTTTTGACTCTACGGTGAATATCAAGAACTCCGACGCAGAATATAATAGGTACAGAATATCATTATGTAATAATATCCTAAACAATCGCGATTACGGATTATCGTGATTATCGGATCGTGTTCAATTAGTTGGGTACTGTATAAGTGTACAATTTAATATTGGGTATGTTATAATACATTTAAAATGTTTTGAAAATACACATAACACATCAATAGAAGTGTTTGGTTATTGATAAAAATTAAAACCGTTCCTCCGAATTTTCACCTCCGGGCGCCATCGCAACCAATTAAAGCGTCCGACCAGAAACCACATATTGAATATGGCTAATTGGAGCAACATTTCTGGTAGAAAAGTTGTTTATAGATAAAAAAAAAAAAAAACAACGAACATCATAATACAGCGAAACCAATAAGTACAAAAGTGACTAAAAGCGTTCCTTAACTCGCATGCGTCTGCCGAGAAATTCGGTACAGTGACATAATATGAACTTAAGAGGGAATGAGGATTGTATACGGTACATAATGGTTATCCGTGCGCATCGCGTAACCGCGGAAAGCCGAGCGTTAAAGTTGATTTACGGGTACTATGAATGTGAGCCATTTTTTCACGTACAGTATACTATTCACAGACATATTATTGTACCCACGTACGGTATTGGGTGTTGTCGATATTGCTATAATATATACATATATAAATATAAATAAATGTTGAGTTAATGTTAAGTTAATAGTTGTACACATTATGAACGTTTAACGGTCGGTTTATAATAAACGACGCCACGAAAACAGGCCCGTTATAAAATGCGTGGACCCGGAAGAGGACGTGGTCATTGCCCATCCCCGAATCCGACTTTGGGTGGTGCGTCGTCCGTGAAACGTATTGTCACCCACGATTAAAGTGGGTAGAATTGCGTGGAGAGAGAAAATATTTAAACCGAACGTCGGGGGACGTTCCCGAGAATTGACTAAACCCGACCAAACATTTTGCGGGAAACCCGTCGTGGCTAGTTTACCGTGACTACCAAAACACGTTATGGGGCTTAAAAATAAATAAAATACACCTTCCCTCCTATAAAAAAAAAGCGCTTAAATTGTCAAAAAAGAACTTAAAAATATTTTAAAAAGTAAAAATTGTAGTGGAGTTTGAAGCCCATCCTCTAACGGTTTGAGCCCAATTAAATACAATCTTCTACACTGAAAAATGATTCGCAAATTTTTTTTTCAATGACACGCACACATTTATTTGAAAAAATTACTTTGTAATAATCATTTTTTTAGTTAAAACATTAAAACATTATTTTTAATAAGTTAGAATCATTAGTTGGGGAGGACTTTTACACCCCTCTACCATTATTGCTCTTTTAAATACTTTTTAAGTTATATACTATGGATTTGTTTGACGTTTTTAAGCTTTATTTGTGGATTTTAAATGTATAAACATTCTAGCCCTGATAATTAACAACAGGTTATGTACAGAATTTTTTTTTAATAAAACTGTTTCGAGTTTTCAAGATGTCATTAAAAATTCCTATTAAAAATTAAAACGTCTCTCTGCGGACTTCGAAGACTCAACCTTAAGGGGACGGATAATTTCACCTTAAATAAGAAGAGAAAACTACGCCCCCTTCGTCCCACCGTTCTCACCGCTGGTTGTCGTGGTATAATATGTAACTACAATGGACCGTGGGCGTATCTATATTTCATTTAGTTTTTCCGGGGCGGTAACTCTGCAATATTTGTTTTTCGAAAATTGACTGGTTGTTGTTTTACCCTGTGCAATATTTATACAGTCCATTTTTTATTTACCCGCGGTAAACATTCCGATACATAGACGATAATATTTTTTACCAGGAGTGTTTTTTTTTTTTATTATTATTATTATTAATTGCATTCTCTTACAATAGAATTCGTATATTTTATTGCTCCCCCACCTCACTCCCCCGGTTTTTTTTTTTTTTTTGGATTCCCCGTTGTCCAATATTACCGCCATCGCAGTATAGTACATATGCTGTTTATTTAACCTATTTCGGAATGTAAGTTATTAGTTTCGCCTTCCAAAATCATAACCAAAATTGAAAATACTGGTGATTGCGATTTTGTCGCGGATGCGATTATGTACACAATCATTATATAGGTGTAAACACGTAAAAACAGTAGAGTCGTTTTAATAGTTAATAGACCGGGGAAAACTTACCAAATTCGCTGACGAACGAGGAAAGAAGCTATTTACTAACAAAAAGAAATAAAATAACAATGTAATTTTCACGCTTCGTTCGAGTATCGACGCACCGTTTGATACGCGTTGTTATTGCAGATTTTCATCACATCCTCGTACTTACAACGTAACAGCCGGTACTTATTTCCGTGACATTCAAATATAAGCAGTGTTGAATCCAGGTATATAACAGGGAGGGGGGGGGCGACAGCCCCTCCTAGAATTGTGTTTGCCCCTCCATTAAATGCGAGTAAACTAATAATTAATTAAATAATAAAACAGATTTGACTGGTCTTAGTAAGAGGATAGACAAGTAAAAAAAAAATAAAAAAAAAGGTCATTACTATAATTTTGAGTATAATTTCATGAAAATTTAAAATTCGGTCACAAAATCCGATTATGCTCGTCTGCAGCTATGGGCGCATAAATATATATATACGAACAAAATGTATACAATTTCACGAAACATTTTTCGATAATTCGCGACGTTTTTTCCCCGGACCCAAAAGTCTGCTGGGATCGACCAACACCGACCGTTTCGCGATAAGGCTGTAGCAAATAAGCCGGGCGGGCGCTTAATGTCCCGGGTGAACGCGACCGGACGAATATATAACGGGCGGGCCGATACATTAACCGACGATATCGGCGGTATCGGGGTTTTTTTTTTTTTCTTTTCTTTTTTTCTTTTTTTATTAAAAAACGATATTTGAACCGATAAATTCGGCGAAAAAGTCGTTTCTGGAATATACGAACGAAGTATTGGGCGAAAAAAAACCCGGGTTTCGATCTAATACATCTAATACAAATTCATTTCAATGTGCACAACGGTATATTGACTCGCGGTTTTCGATTTCAAACACCGGCTATCGGTAAAAAGCGGTATCCCGAAACAAGCAGACGACGGTTGTACACGTCACCGTGCAGCATATAATTGTAACGATCAAGCACGTTTAAATGACGGCCGATTTTGTTTGTTGTTTCTTCAATCTTTATTAACATCAACTTCACATCACATACACATAATATTTTATTATATACTATATAATTATTAAAAAATATCAACACGGCCGTAACGTCACATCCACCGGGTACCGGTAAAAACGTGTGGCGCGTTTAGACCGCGTTGAACATAATAATTGTTATTATATTTACTATCGGTATTATGTACACATAAAATCACGGAGAACGATATTCTTTTTACAATATAATATATAAATATATGTTTCAACAACGTTACACAAATAAACGGAAAAAATAAAAATAAACAAAATTAATTATAGAAATGATAATGTTATATAGGTAATATTAATACAAAAAAAAAAAAAAACAAAAAAAAACATTTATCATATTAACGATACATTATTATTGTATTCTATGCGCATGCGAATAATAATAACACATTGTACAGACATTGCGTCGTTCTTATTAAAATATGTACAGATAGCGTTTTCCGAATATGAAACCGCGTATGAAAATAGAAGACCGCGCGCGGGGGGTGGGGAGGGAACTAAAAAATAATAGTAAAAAAAAAAAAAAAAAAAAAAAACAATATATATATATATATATGTATAATATATACAAACCGTTCGGCGTACACGCTGA